ACTGAATTTACAACATTTCATATAGTTTGTATTCATTATTTTAGCTATCTTACGTGTACGCACCTAAAACTAAGAATTTAATCTCAAATGGGAAGTTTTTTATTTTATAATGCGGAAGAAGTCGTCACATATTATGTCACGAAACCTATTAAATTATTTTATCACGGTACGAGTCATCGTTATATAATTAATTGATAATTTTATACAGTTATAAATCAGAAATCAGAGAAATTTTGCATTTTTTTCTGTCATGTTCGTGCCATATTCTAACGTGCATAACAGAGTAACGTGCAAAATATTAATAAATTTAAAGGAAAATTCAACAGCAATGTAAAATCTCGCAATTTTTTTATTTTTTAATTTTTTTAAAGTTACAAGGTGTAAATAATGAACTTGTAACGTAATTAAAGTAACTTTAGGGGAGATCGGGGCAACTTCGGCATGCGGGGCAAGTTTGTCAAGCGCTTTTTTTAAAAAACAAATTAAAAGGAGACTTTGGTTATAGGTTAGGCAGTTGAGTTTTATTGGTGGCTTGTTGAGTGTAGTGTTTTTATTGTTCTCCAACAAGCGTAGTNTGATGTTTAAGCTACTTAAAATTATACAGAAGAAAGTTACATAGTTGATTTTTCAATTATATTTTCGTGTAACTAAAATTTTCATCGGAGAATGATCGTAGGTGGTAGCGGGTCATCTATTCTTGTCATATCAGAGCCATAGAACAAACACGAAAAAATCAATTGACCTCATAGCAAGATCACAAGAAAAAATTAATTATTGTCGATCATATCCGAGTATCACGAACTGTCATACACACCATCCTCATCATCAAAATAGGAGGAATGATCCAAGGTTTTTCTATTATTTTCTCTATATTTTATAAATATTGTAAATTTAGAACACACACAAAAAATTAAATAAATTCTCGACTGTAACTATATTTAATTGGTCACTTAACAATAGGAATGTTAGAAAAATTTGAATTATCTACGTTCAGTTCCGTTTTCTAACATTCTTCTAAGCCATTAGTGCATTCTAATTAACAACAGCAATGCCAATTAATACTAATTCACTCATTTTAATTGCGTTAGCGTTAATTAGTGCGTTAGGGTTATTGTTAATTATTCATCATTGTCAACGATAATCACGTATTCAAGACCACATTTGAACATTATTATGTCTAAAACTACATTTTGTAGATCCTGTTTTACAAGGCGTTTTAAAAAATTTTTTAAGCAATATGGCGCACATCATATACAAGCATAATTTTAAAAAACTATTTATAAATCTTATTTTTATATTTTTAGATAAAGAATATAATGTTAAACATCTTATAAACAATATTTCATACCATATTTACACAATTATTACATCTAAAAAATTACAATTTTTACAGGAAGAGTATAATAAAAGGTATTTCAAATGTCTTATATTTACGTATTGCAAACCAAATCCAATTAATAATTTATCTAAAAAATCAGTTTCTTAAGAGCTGTTTACAATTTTAAATGAATGATAACAGGAAAAAAAGCATCTCATAAACAAAACTGCTCTGAAAATGGCATTCAAAACAAGCATCAGCAAGTGCATCAAGTGCTCTAGCACTGAAAAAAACTGCTGTTCTTTTAGAAAACATGATGTTTTTTTATTTTCTTTATTTGGCAATTTAGTATTATCAAATTTAAATTATTCAAATTATTATTATTTTGAGTATTACCTCCATAATCATTATCATAATCATTATAGAGTCGTACGCATTTGTAAACAATTTGCAATTTTTATTGGAAATTGAATTTTTTCAATATTTTTCAAGCATAAACAACATTTACTAGTAGTTTAAATGGCGAGAGATATTTATAAATGACTTTCGGAGTTAAACAGCTACAGCTAAATTATTTAAATTATTATTATTTTTTTTTCTGGAAAGAGTCTTTTAAGTAAATCGCATTTTCATTTTCTTGAAGTTGTTTTTAAAGAGAACATCTGTTTAACGTACAAAACTTTCACAAATTGGCTTGAAATTTCATGTTTTCTTTTACATTTATGGCCAAAACCTTTTAATTTCAATAAATTCTAAAATATTATGAAAATTTAAATATATTATTAAAAATGCAAATAAATAAATAAATAAATAAATACAAAATAAAGTTTTTTGCTTTTTATTTTTAAAAAGTTTTATTAACATTTAAACTGGTTTTTAAATTTGTTTACCCGTTATTTTTGAATTTTTAAAATTAAAAATAACGGTCAAGAATTTTACATTGTTGACGTAATAATACATTTTTAAAAAGTACCCTATTACGTAAAAATGACGTAAAAATAAATGTTTTTTTTAAAATGTATTATTACGTCAACGTTCAATTTTATTATTTAAAAAATTCATTCGTAAATTTGAAAAATTTATTTATTTTTTTAAAAGATTTATCTAGCTTAAACACACTATTATACTTTTATAAATTTTATTTTCTGTTAAATCCGTAGAATTTTAGAATTTTTAAATTTTACATTATGACCAAGAGAAAATTTTAAAAATATTTAACACTTTATAGTAAATTTTTTATTAGTTAAATATATAAAAATAACACTAACTATAGAAAATTTATAGAATAAGAATAATTCGATAAAATTCAGCAGTTTTTTTAATTTTTACATATGAACATTTATGGAAAGGAGATAAGTGCCATAAACATCCAACTTAGCTATTAATTTTGTTATAATTCCTAAGAACATTTACGCACAGATAACAAAAGAATATGTGGATAGACAACCAGATGTGTATAATGTTTCCAAAAAATCCTATAATTTTTTAAAATTTTCTTAAAATTTCTAATGAAAAGATAGCATATAAAATGCATAAAATAAAAATATATTTTTTAATTAACTAAAAACTACAAAGTCTAATAATAATAATTATTTAAAATGATAACAATTTAATAATTAAAAAATCGATTTTATGTATTTTTAGAATTAAAAAATTAATTTTAAAAATGATTTTTCATGTTTTCCTAGGTCATTTTTAAAACTGTTTAATTTGATTGCAATTAAAAATTATTTAATATCGATTAATAAATTTTAAACACTATTAGAATAAAAAATAATATTTTAAAAATGATTTTTTATTATAATTGAAATTAATTAATACATTTATGTTAATTAATTTTAATTAGAATAAAAAAAATTCATTTTGAGAGTTTTCAGATAAATTTTTTTAGAATATTGAAACTTATTTTAATTAAACTTGTTGTAAATTATTAAGAAAAATGGGTAAAATAATAATTTATAATTTCTTTATTTTAAAAAAATACAATAATTTTTTTAAACGTCAAATTTGATAATTGCATTTTATTAGAAAGTCCTCCATTAACAAAATTAAATTATGTCAATAAACATTAAAGACAAAAGAGAACTTCAAAGAAAATTAATTTTACAAGATATTAATTAATATTTTTCGAAGAAAATTTAAATTGAAATTTCTATTTTTACAGGGAAAATTTCAAGAAAAAAAAATCACTTAAATAAGGATAATTAAAGGATTCTTTGGAAACATTTTTATAAATATATAATGGAAGAGACACTTTAAATATTGTAATTAAATGTGATTAATCTTTAATTTATTCCAAAAATTGCATTTAGTTAATTAATTTTTGAATAAACTTCCCTTCAAAAAATTTCCTAAAATATAAAAAAAAAAAATGGAGAGAATTTTACACTATTTTTGTGTTTAGAATTATTTTAGAATATTCCAAAATGTTCTAGGAATTTTTAAAAAAATTTTCAAGTCTCTAGAATTCTTTTAAAAAGTTTAGAATATTCCAAAATTTTCTAGAATTTTTTTTATTTTTATAATATTCCTAAAATCTTTAGAATGTTTTGTATACGTTTAGAAAATTCCAAGAATCCTCTAAAATTTTAAGACATTTTGTTTTAAAGAATAATCCAAGAATCTGTATCAACGAAGGATGCCAGATGCTAGACATAGATGTGTCGATATTTAAGAAAATAAATAATTTAAAAACATTGATGTCCTTGAGCGAGTCAATTGTTGTGCAGGTGTACCCCTTTTCTAGTTGTGGCATTGTTCCAATATCTCCACCCTCTTTGAGTGATGAACATAAAAAAAACCACATACCACACACAGACACGTCCACATGTCCAGCATCAGATAAGATTCGAAAAGATACGCCTTCCACACTTTCTAATGTGTCATTTGCGAAGAGAAATATTAAATTAAAAAATGTCAAGAGGCAGATAATTACTATTATTAACAGAAAAGTGGTAAAACATGTGAAAATTAACAAAAAATCCATCGCCTTAAATATGCAAATGAAGTGTTTTTAGGTGAAGAAAGAGAAATATTTTTAGCTTATTATGCTAGAAATTTTCTCAAACAATATTTTATTTAAATAATTTCATCAGATATTCATTTTTAATAAATATTCTATAATATATTTTGGAATATGAATTATATTTCAACGTGTTCTATATGTATTGAAATAGAATAATGAATATTCTATAAAATATAAAATACTTCAAATATTGTAATAATATTCTTTCGAATATTCCAAATATGTTATAGTAAATATTCCATATATAATAATACTCTATAGAATATTCATACAAAATTAAATATTCTATATGATAATAGTTTAAAACTAGTTTTTTGAAGAATTTATTTAAGAATAGCTGTGATAGAATATTCGTTTTCAATTATATTTATTATATTCTATAAACAATTTTTATCAAACTATTCAAATATTCTATAGAATAATCTTCTGTAAAGTAGTTTTAATTTGTATTTATATGGAATAATTTATCGAAATATTCCCTAGAATAATTGACCTTGTATCAATTATTCTTAATCGAATATTCTATAGAATATTGCACAAAAGGAAAGCAGAACGTACTCTATTCTACAATTGATTACTACGTAAGAGTAATTAGAGGTTATCCAAAGACTTTTCTAACGAAGGGGAAGTGCATATAATGAATATAGAATATCTTACGTGTGTTGTTGTAAGTGGAGGTAGCATCATAGGGAACAGAACATAAGTCCTGACAGTGGTATAAACCCAACGGCACCAACATTTGGCCGACATATTTTAAATCCAGTGTCACATGTTCTTCTTTGTACAAAGATATCCACCACGTGAAGAGTGTCGATAGTGACACTACGGCGCGTGAGCAGAAGTGAACGCCTCAGGATTCAACCATTGTCTCCGGGGTAAAGCGAAGAACCTAAGTGTGTATCATTTAACCATCATCACATACCTGTATTATATCTACTGTATAAACATTGAAACACACCCCTGTTTAAGGAGAATTGCGTTCATTTAACGCAATTTTCCACTTGTTTCTATCATACAAACACTAGGAAATTTATATAGAGGGAGGAGATTCGAGGGTGGGATTTGTATGTGTAGCCATATATTGCGTAAACACTCTCTACTTTAATGTAATTTTAGGGAATTATCACTCGTTTTACGTAGTTTTCTATAGGTAAACACGTGGAAATGTATTCCAGAAAGGGAGAAATGTCAAGGGATAGTTCGAATTCGTGTTTATAGCTTTATATTACACAAATTTCCCCCACTATTTAACATTATTTCAAGTGAAAAATTACTAATTTAATATAATTTTCTGGCTTGTTTCTACTTTACATTTATTCAAAGGAGATGAATTAAATGTGAAGAGGATGATTAAAATTCTTGTATAGCATTATATTACTTTAAATTAACACTTCTCTCTGTTTAGCATCTTTTAAGTTAAAAATCATTAATTTAACATAATTTTCTGGCTCGTTTCTATGTATAAATATATATACATTTATTCGAAAAAGGGATAAAAGTAAAAGGTATGATTAGATTTAACTTTAAATGTGAAAAAAACCTTTTTTAATATTATTTTAGGGAGTGTATCACCTATTCAATACAATTTTATAGGTATAAAATTGTGTATAGGCTATATAAGAGAGGGAGAAGAAAGAAAGTGATTATAATTCGTGTGTATAGTTTATATTGTATAAACACTCCTCTGTTTAACATTGTTTGATATAAAAAATTAATCGTTTAACCCAAGTTTTTGACTTGTTTCGTTTTAGGTTATAAATAAAGATATAAATTGATTTTTTTAAAAGTTTTTAAGCTTAAATTTTGGATTTTATGAAATGTTTTTGAACCTTTTCCGATGCATATATATATATATATGTATATATATATGCATCGGAAAAGGTTCATATATATATATGTAAGGAAGGATAAGTATAGCTTTATATTGTGCAAACATAAGTACGATAGTAATAAATATTATATCATGTAGTTGCACGGTTGCAACTAATTTAGAATTAAAAGATGCATCATGGTAAATAAATGGAGTAGACTTGCCCATTACTCTGATGGAAGAAAGCCATTATTGCCAAGGACATTTGCCTTACCACGCCCAGAATATTCTATGTTCATTTTATATATAAGTAGACAATATTATTATTCTTCCAGTTATAGCGTCCAGGAGGGAGTTTTTTACAATGCTTTCTTCTAAAAAATCGGTACACATAATCTTTTAAAAGGTAAAAAATGGTTTAAATATAATAATAAAATTAAAATTAAAATATTTTATTGTGTTTTAGATGATTTTTCAGACGTTTAAAGCTTACTTTTATGTTAAACTTGGCGGTGTCTTTAGATCATTTTGTAATAAAATTTTAAAACTTCTTCGAAAAATTTATTATACATGACAATTTTCAGACTTTTAACATTTTATAAATTGATTTTTTTTTAAAGTTTTAAGCTTAAATTTCGGATTTTATAGGGTGTTTTTGAACCTCTTCCGATGCAATCATTCAATTTGGTAAGTAGTTTATCGCAGCGGATAGCGCGAAAATTTCGAAAAAAAAAATCCAAAATAAAAAATATATTTGATTCCCATTAATGGATTTTTTAAGCATAGATCTTTTTAGAAAAATGAGATTTTAGGAAAAAACAAAACTAAAAAAAATCCCAATTTTCTAGCTTTTCTGATATAATCTTTGAGGTTATTTATGTTGACGGATAGCTTAAAAAACTCAAAAAAAAATAAAATAAAATAAAATATTTCATTACTATTAAATACACTTTTAGGCAAAATTATTAAAAGTACTCAATTTTAAAGATTTAAGCTAAAAATTTAAATTCTCCACTTGTAATATGTAGAAAATTTGCATTCTTATGCAATCTTTTAAGTAGTTTTTTTTAATGCTGAAATTATTAAAAATTGATAAAATAATTAATTTTTAATTCACTTTAATGTATTTTTAGCTTAATTTTCCTTTAAAAATGAGATTTAAACAAAAATTTAAGCAAAAAAATATCCACATTCTTTCAGCTCTCATAGTGCAATCATTATCACGAACATAGAATTAAAAACACTAAAGAAGGATAAAATATAAAATTTTAATTATTTATAATAAATTTTAAGCTATTTTTTTAAAATTTAATTCTTTCTCAAAAACACAATTTTAAAGAAAACCTAAGCTGGAAAAAATCAAAACTCTCCATCTCTCCTGATGCATTTTTTATGGTTGGATATAGATAAAAACGTTAAAACAAGAGAAAAATATAATATTTTAATTTTTTATAATAAATTTTTAGCTATTTTAAGCTCAATTTTCTCTTGAAAATACGATTTTGAAAGAAATTTAGGTTGAAAAAAACTAAATTCTCCAACTCTTCCGATGCAATCTTTCAATTTTCGTGATGTAGTTTATTGTATAGGATAGAGTGAAAAGTTTGAAAGTAATCCACAAAATGCAATATTGTGAGTCTAGAAAAGCCATTCTTTTCCTCAAAGTGACCCAACTTGTTTAGAATAAATCGAACTGAAAGCATCTCCTCTACAACATCCTATGCGTGTTAAGATTTCGTTTACACAAAGAATCGATAAATTTTGTGTCGCCATCTGCTGTTAGAAATTAAAACCATTAATTATAAAATATATTTTAATAATAATAATAATAATAATAATAATAATCAATTAATTTCAATATAATTTTATTACTAATTTAATTATAAATTCATTTAGATAATATCTATTAAACCATACATTCTTTAGGATGCTGGATATCATTAAAGATCGGTGATAATGCTGTGAAGAAGATGAGAAAAAATTGTTCGAAATAATTAAACTTTTAGTAAATAATTATTTTATTTTTAGGCTATTTACTAATGAATTTCGTGTTTTGAATGATTTTGACGTCGCTAAATCCCACCTGTCTATAGACGTTTTATGCATCTTACGTGAANATAATTAAACTTTCAGTAAATAATTATTTTATTTTTAGGCTATTTACTAATGAATTTCGTGTTTTGAATGATTTTGACGTCGCTAAATCCCACCTGTCTATAGACGTTTTATGCATCTTACGTGAAAGTAGGGATCAATCAATAACTGTATCTATCTTCTATTGTCTTTTTTTTCCTCCTTTTTTTATTTTTCGAAGAAGAAAGAGGAAGAAGAAAAGCTGTTTTTTGAAGTAGAAAAGGTGTTTTTTATGTCAAGATTAATACTTAAACAGATAAAAGTTTCTAACGATTTTCATCTTAGTTTTCTCCAATAATTTACCCCCTCAAAAAAACTTAATCAAAGTTAATGATTTTTTGAAGAATTTCTAAAAATTCAAGTATCTAATAAAATGAAAAATGCTTTTAGGTAGATCTAGAAGACGTATTCGTCTTACATTTGATGTAATAAATTAATTAAAATGATACAGAAGATAAGAAAGATGATAAATGCGATCATTTTCCAACTAAAAATTCAACGATTCCTTTAAAAATTCAAGTAATAAATTTTAATTAATTTAAAAATTTAAGCTTAAAAATATCATTTTATAAAAAATTTAAAACATTTTTTTATTATTTAAAATCAATTTTTCGATACGATTTTATTTTAATTTAAACAATTTTTCAGAGAAGTTCCAAAGATGCGAATCAATTTATCAAGATAATTTAAGTAATAAAAAATTTATTTCGGTTCTTTAAAAGATTGAAAATAAAAATTTAAATTGTTTTTTTTTAATTTAAATTACTTTAAAATTTCTAAATAAATTTAATTTTTATTAAAAAGGACCGAAAGTATTTTTCAATTAAAGGAATAAATTTTCTATTATTAATTGAAAAACAATTTTGATTAAATTAAAGAATCGATTGAATGATGGATTTCCGAATGTCTTTAAATGTTTTTAATTATAAAAAAAAAAGAAATTTTTAAAAATATATAAAAAGTTAAAGAAATTCGCCCCTAAGTCATGGCAATTCTCCAATAATTGTTTCAGAGAGATGGAAGAGAATTATTTTCTTATCAAGAGGAAGTCAGCCAAAACCTGTAGAATTCAGACCTGTTGTCCAAAAAAAAATAATGTTAATTCTTATAAAAAACAAAAATATTATTATTTTTCCTTAATTTTTCTAATAAATTAAATTAATTCTTTAAGAAAAATATTCACATCTCATGGCAATAAAATGATACTTTTATATTATTTAAACTATATTTTATAAAAGAATTTTTCTGCAGAAAGCTTCTAAATCGATATCGTTAGAGAAAAAAAATATTTTTTTAGATGATTTAAACGGGTTTTTGACATTTTTATTTATCATATGCTTTTAAAATCAGTTTTTATTTGATAAATTTAAAGCTATTTTCTTCATTTTTTGATTCGATATTTATGCACTAGTTTATCAATTTTCTATGCTACACATGCACAAATTTATTCATTTTCTATCCTATACATGTGAAAATTTATCTAGTTTTTTATGCTACATAAACATGAATTAATCGTGTACTGTGCTTTACGTATACAAATTTATCCGTTTTCTACTCTACACATGTGCAAATTTATCAACATATTTAAGCATAAACATGTTTAGAATCGTGTTTTTCTTGTATTTACAGTTATAAAGTACAATTTTCCTTATCGAATTCCCGATATTTTAAACACTCTCTAACATTAAATGATAGATTTACTCCAGCTTCCAGGTTATATCATTCGATAATATAGCATTAATTTAGCTGTTACAGGGAGGTAAATATGATTTATTGTTATTTTTAAAACGTTCTTTAGATACTAAAACGTATCTCAACCTTCTTTTATAATGAGAATTTATCGATTTG